TGCAACACTTAGTGTGTCTTCATGTGTATGAGGGGAATTAAGCCGTGTGAAGTTTGCTTGTGAGTCAAATAAACTGAGGTCTGGAAGAGGCGACAGAAGCCTGCTCATCCATTCTGGACAAAGCCCTATTATGTCTTTATCTATTTTAGTATTGAGGGGATGCTTGGAATTAACTTATTAATCCACACGGCAAACGTGTGTCTGGTCAGTCTTGCCTACATGCAGGCTTCTCCCTTGTTTTCCCACTGGACCTGGCTCATGCTCAGGTGGTGGGGAGGGAATCAGAGTTGGGGTGTGGCTTACAGGTGGAAAGTCAAAGTTGGGCACGTTCATCACGCTCAGAATGTAGTCCACACGGAACTGGTTCTCAGGATTGGCCAGCTCCACAGGGGGCACCAGGTTGCTCATGGCGGCCACGATGGTCTGAAAACGGTTTAGCAAAATGGTCAGGGGGCAGCACCATGGGGAGAGGGGGTTGCTAAAAGGTACAGTCAGGGGCTGGGCACATACTTCAATGGCCTCCTTCAGGTTGTTTTTGATGTCCTGCACCTTGGTGGCCTTCTCACTACAGTGGAATTGAAAAGAAAAAAGAAAATCATATTGCATCCTGCCCACCAAGGTGTCACCTTCATCGAGACATGGCAACTAAAAAGCATACTATTCTGTTCTCCAAGGAGTTGTGGGTTCAGATCTGTAGACTGGAGGAATTATAATTTCCCAAATGTGTCCTGAGGACATGCCCAATGGGGGCAGATTAGTGATGTGGCATCGAGATCTTGATCAACTGTACCAGAAGTTGCACCTGGTCCACCTGCTAGTCTAACCACACCTAAATGCTTCCTGAGTGGTCCCTTGACTGGAACACATTGGGGTGGTGTGGAGGTAGGGTTAGTGCACGTCTGACTTAGGATTCAGTATGTTATGCAACCCAGAGGTGATAAGTGCTTATTATCGATGTTAAGGCTTCCCATTCCCATATATTTATTTGTAGATTGATCATTTATTTAAATAGCCATGAACCTATCACAGGGAGAAGATGGTGTTACGGGGAGACGGTGTTTGGGGTACTGTGGCTCACAGAACTTTTGCTTAACCGTGTTAATGCACACTGGCCTCCAGTGTGATTAGGTCCCCACGTTATTGGTAGGATTGGGTTCACATATGTTGGGGGAGGAGTTGGCTAAACGGTTCATGGCTTCTTATTTAGCCAGTCCTTGGGTTAGCCTATGTGATCTTTCTGGGATGATCTGCATGCAGTGACAGTCACTGACCCTACAGGTGAAGGTCACAACCTCTGCTATGGGAGGTGGGTGGTGTCCCCCAGACAGAGTGTTAATTTATGGAGGTTACAGTGATTCATATTGCTGTGTCTCTTAGGAGACAGTCTTTACGCCAGACACAGCCATAGGGAACCATGAGCTTGTCTTTAGGGGTACCAGCAAAGTGCCCCTTGCTTGGAGCAGACTTCATCTTGTCTTCTGTATGTGTAGTGGAGGATTAGAGGATCAGCATGCACAGCACTTGAAGGGTGTAAGGCCTGATGGCACAGAACAGGACATGGAGAGGAGCAGGCTCTTTCTTTCTAATGGGGAAACTGAGGCAGAGGGCTGGGAGTGGTAGTGACAAAGGTAGGACAGAGCTGCTTTTGCTGAGTTTATGATTAAAGGCACAAGATGGAGATAGTTAAACCATCCCTCTTCCTAAGAACAGGGTAGAATACTAATTAGCAGGGATAAAAGAGGGGGACTAGCAGCTACTATAGCCAGGAGGGGTGGGAGGTGGGCCTCAGGTGGAGATCTGGGGGTCATGTGCATGCCTTCCAGTAGGGAGGGATCTGGAGGTCAAGATCATGCGCACGAGTAAGGAGAGATCTGGGTCATGTGCATGTCTGCCAAAGGAGTGGGGGAATCTGGGGGTCATGTGCATGTCTGTCTGTAGAGTGGGGAACTGGGGGTCATGTTCATGCCTATCAAAGAGGTGGGAGGATCTGGGGGTCATGCACATGCCTATCAAAGGGGTGGGGGTCTGGGAGTCATGTGCATGCCTATCAAAGGGGTGGGGGGATCTGGGGGTTGTGGGCATGTCTACCAATGGGGTGTGGAATTTGGAGGTCGTTTGCATGACTATCAAAGGATTGGGGGGACCTGAGGGGTTATGTGCATGCCTACCAAAGGGGTAGAGGACCTGGGGGTCATGTACATGCCTACCAAAGGAGTGGGGGGATCTAGGGGTCCTATGTATGTCTATCAAAGGGTTGGGGGAACCTGGGGGTCATGTGTATGCCTACCAAAGGGGGGGGACTTAGGGGTCATATGCATGGCTACCAAAGGATGGAGGGATCTAGGGTTCATGTGCATGCCTATCATA